CCTTCACGGAAGGTCTAAAGATTAAATTTAGAGGACGGGGAAATAGAAAAGATTTCTCCCCTCTAATGACAGAAAGTTATCGGCTACGAGGACGGAGGGCGCAAGGCAGAACTCAGAAAGGGTCGACTGCAAGCAGATATATGGTCGCAAATTCTTTCTCTCCCCTGACATGTCTTCCTAACGCAAGCTTGTTCTAAAATACAACTGTAAGGAGCCACGCCCACCCTCATCTACCCACTTACTATCTTTCCTTCAATAGGGGATAGGCGAGGACAGACAGATGCCCTAGGTTTCGTTCCTTCCTGTTGTCTCGGCACCATTGCAGGTCCATAACCCCTGCCACTAGGGGTCGTGCTATACAGTATTTAGATGGTTCGCTTGTAAATGTCCCAAAAGATGCAGCAGGGATTTCAGTCCTGAGAAGCAACGCGACGCAGAGCAACCGGGTTGGTGCTCTCCCTTCCCCTCTTGCGGCAGATACATCTACCGGCAAGAAAACACAGGCAAATTTTTAAAGAATACACACGATCTGAAACAAAACGGAAGGCTCCTGGCTCCAACGGAAGAAGGCGGGCCCAGGTGACATCACGCGGCTTCAGCCGCTAGACCGCCCGTCGTTGGGCGTGTCTGAGCATCGTGACCAAAGGCTTCGCCCTGCCTCTGGTGACGTCACGGAAGCCCGAAGCTCTAGTATCTCCGCGGCCGCCTCGCCCATCGCCGGGCGCGGTGGCGCACGCCTGTAGTCCCAGCTACTCGGGAGGCTGAGACAGGAGGATCGCTTGAGTCCAGGAGTTCTGGGCTGTAGTGCGCTATGCCGATCGGGTGTCCGCACTAAGTTCGGCATCAATATGGTGACCTCCCGGGAGCGGGGGGCCACCAGGTTGCCTAAGGAGGGGTGAACCGGCCCAGGTCGGAAACGGAGCAGGTCAAAACTCCCGTGCTGATCAGTAGTGGGATCGCGCCTGTGAATAGCCACTGCACTCCAGCCTGGGCAACATAGCGAGACCCCGTCTCTTTTTTTCCTCCCCATCCAGAATTATGGCTTTAGTCGCTTGAAAGTCAACTCAACTCGAAGTTTAAAAAAAAAAAACTGTCCTTTTCAAAACTTAAATCTCTGGCTTCCTCGTTCCCTCCCCCGCGGTCCTCCCTCCCTCAACCCCCATTCTTCGGTTTTATATTTCCTTTGGGGTGAATTTGCTCAAAGTATTAAGCTACTCGTAGCGCCTCACTACTGACTCCTACCGGAGTATAGTTGAAATATATTCCCCAAAAGCTGTTATTATCCAAGAAACCAGCAGGGACTGCTCGTTTGTTTAAAAGCGGTTGGAGAAAAACTGCCGTCCGATAAAAAGCGCTTTCTCAGTCAACTTGCAGAGCAGAGTGTGCAGCTAAATCGGGAGTGATAAATCTACCTATATCTGTGTTTCTGAGTTCAGTGCTTAGTTGGAGATTTTTTTCGGTAATATCTATAATGTCTTCCTAGCATTTTTTTAATGCATGCCTCTCTATCCATTTGTATTGTCTTACTGTAGATAAATACAGAACAATCTTTAAAAACTTGGAAGCCATGATGCCTAAGGCTGTAGCCCATAGCAGTCCTAACTTAGAATGCATAAGGTCTGCACTCATCACTGTAAAAGAACAGAAGGAATTTGTCATACATATTTACTAGATGGAAACGACAGAAATGCTAAATATTTGAAAAACAACAACAACAAAAAATTACCCTCTCCCTACTACAAAAATAGAGACAAAACAATTTTGGTTTATCTCATTCCATTTTGCCTTTTGCTCTTCTAAACAGATGCCTGGAGTTGGTCCACAGCAGCTTAGATGTGGCTGTAAGCATTACCTCAGAGTAGCTAGCTACCTTCTTAGGCCTGGAGTTCTTACACCCTTAGTTTTTTTTTTTTTTTTCTGAGACCTATAGAAGAACTTCTTGGCTTTGTGGAGCCTAAGCATGAGAGGTGGCATAATTCCTCTCTCCTCAAAAGATGTTTGTATTCTAACACCTAGACATGGCCATACAGACACTGTAGGGGATAAAAAGACTTCATGGATTCCATTAACTTTGGGGTCATGAGGTAGAAAGTTTGTTCTGATGGGCCAAATATAATCCAGGGGCCCTTATAGTGCTGGAATTATGGAAGGCAATATGGCCTAGAAACAGGTCAAAGTCATTCAGGATCACTGATCAAGGAATATGGCAACTTTGGGAGCTTGTAAAAGAAAATGCAAGGGGTTTTCCTGAGACACTCGCCCAACCCCCACATGTAGAGGAATGCAGCTCTGCAGACCCCTTTGGAACTTCTGACCCTCAGAATGCTAAGATAATAAACTCCTTATAGGGAGTGGAGAAAGTCCCAAGTGGATGTGTTATTGACACAGGCACAGCTTTGACAAGGACTCCGAGGACCCATGGAGGAATGCCAAAGCCTTTCCCCTAGGGTGAGGTTCAGAGGCATGGAAAAGTCTTCCTCTGAGCCAAGTATGGATGTTGACAGTGTGTGCAGAAAATGTCTACCATACCTTTCCCCCCCTGGATATTTACAGCCTGAAGACTGCTCCCCTACAGAGACTCTGCTCCTACTGTGAGGAGCTAAACCTGTCTCCTTGATCCAGCTGTGTACCATAAACTCTGCCTGCTTGTTCAACAGCTCCAGATCATAAACACGCTAGCTCAGGGCAGGGGCTATGGTTTCTCCAGCAGAGAGCCCCACCATCCGATGCCAGCTTTCTGTCGGTCTGGTTTTTTCTTCATTTTTTTACTGCCCTAGTCAGATCCATCCCTGGATGCTGTGCACGGACCAGGCATTGTATTCTTTACATTTCCACACGTGTGGCCGTTATAGCAGCAACAGACACCATGTAAAGTTTCATGGGTATACAACGAAACAGAGCTGAAAAGATTCATGCCTGTTGCTTTCTTCTGTAACGTGCTTGCATTTTATTTTAAATGTATTATGTTGGTCACTTTTTATGTCAGTTTTTTCCCCCATGCCTTTGTCTCTGTTTGTGTTTTGTCCATATACTTAACCTTCTAATTGTATTTAGGACAGGAAAAATTTTTTTGATGCTCACTACAGAGTGCTATGATATGGTTATAGTTTGAGTTCTGGAATCTTGGTGCCCAATGTGTTATGGAGGTGACAGAATCTTTAATTTGGGGGATTAGATAGTACCAGGTGGGTGGTTAGAACACTGGGAATCCTGTGTCTCAGACACAATACTCATCTCGGGAGAAAACAGTTTCACTCCCATGAAGGAAAACTGTTAATAGAAGGCTGACCAGACAGTGGTGGTGCACTTGGGAAGCAGAGGCTGGAGAATCTCGGACTGAGTTAAAGGCCAGCCTGGTCTACTGAGAGTGTTCTAGGACACGAAGAAACCCTGTCTCAAAAAAACAAAGGAGGAGGAAGAGGAGAAGGAGGAGGAGGAGGAGAAGGAGGAGGAGGAAGGGGTTTGGAGGGGGAGGGGGATCAGCAACAGCCTGGCCTCTGAGTCCCTGCTGCTTTGTCTCACCTTGTAGCTGTCCCCTCTCTCTCATATGTGACATGTAGCCTAACAGTCCTTGTTAAATTTGAAATAGACAAGGCTAGCCAATCTCAGATTTCCAGTTTTCAAAACCACAAAGTAAGGAAACTTTGTATGTCATCTGACCTTTAGCATTTTGTCACAGCAACAGAAAACAGATCAAGACAGTTGCCAACATTAAATATTTACATCTGAACATGGCAGTGTGTACCTGTAATTCCAACATCAGGAAGACAGAGGGAGTCTGAGGGCACTCTGGGTTATATGATATGTTTAGACCAGTCTTGACTACACAACACCCTCTGTCTCAAAAACAAAAACAAACCAAGGGAAGGGAGGGTGAACTGTGGTTGATATGTAAAATGAATTATATATATATATATGCACATATATATAAACCCAAATAATAATTACAAAAATCCTTATGTGTTTAGATACACTAATCCCACCCTTTTCCTGATTTTGGTGTTCTCTTTTGAAGGGTCTCACCCGTTGGTCATTTTAACTTCTAAGTACGTGTATCTATCACCGGTGTAAAATTTGCCGGTTTTGCTAGGGGTGTTGGAAATTCCACCTGAGGCGAGAGAATAGGGAGTTCTAAGGCAGCCTGGGCTACTTAGCAAGACCCTGTCTTAAAAACCACACACACACACACTGACAAATCCTCCACTGTCCAAAATGAAGATTTTTTTGTTCTTAGTTTTAAATTCGTTTATTACTAATACTAGAACTTTTAAAAAGAAAAAAAAGACTAATTAATTAGCGTGTATTTGAACCCGGAATAATTTATGAATCGGAAGCACGCAGAACCAGGACAAGTTCAGAGAACGCTGGGATGTGGGCAAGGAGTAATTATTCTTCTCCCACGGGAACTCTCGCTTTATTTTTAATATCTTAGCGAAATTCTCGAATATTGGAGGTGCCAAGAATCTGACACTCAGGCTGTATAGCACCCACCACATTCAAGTTGAATGAGAATCCTACTTGGGATCCTACCCATCAAAATAGGAACCCCTCTCTAGGGCTCCCCTGGACGCGGAAACGCCAACAGTTCGGTTTTCTCTGGGCTCAAATTCGCGTTCGGAAAGCGTCCTTGCTCTTCCACTCCAGCTCCAGCGCCCTCCTGGGAAAATTCTCCAGGAAGGGACGCAGTTTCGAGAAGGTAGTTGGCTCTATTTCGAGTTGTTTTAATGCGGTTTAATACAGTTGAAAAAAACAAAACAAACCAAAAGCTGACCATGCCATTACAAAAATTTTTAGGTGCATGACGCACTCCTTCAAGGAATATTGGGTCGTCTGGGCTGCCGTAGATACGAGCGGAGCGCGCGTGCGCAGAAGCCCAGCGGCCGTGCGTCGGGTCAGTAGCTCTGAGGACTGAGGTGGGGACGGTAGGGACGCGCACTCTAGCCATGAAGAGCCGCTTCAGCACCGTTGATCTCCGCGCCGTGCTCGCGGAGCTGAATGCGAGGTATGGTGGTGCGAGTGAGCAGGCTCGCGCTGGCAGCGCAGGAAGCAGAGGCCGGGCGCTGGGTGGCCGCGAGCCGGGCCGGGATCCCCGCGGTCGTCCCAGCGGGGCGCTGGGGATTGCTTAGGCCTGGGGGCCGACCTCGGGACCGGTGGCCTTGGGGGACCCCCGGGGTCGCGTGTCCCCGTGCTGCCTTTCCCTGGCGCTGGTCCGGAGGGATACCGCCGGCGCGGCTTGGTAAAACCGGAGGTGCCAGAGTGACAGTCACTGTCCCCCGTTCTGGCGGCCTGGTTTCTTCAAAACCCACACCCTTCAACCCCAAAGGGAGGGAGCCGTGCCATTCCGCGGTAGTGCTCAGATCTGGACCTGTATTCTGAGCTTGCCTCTTACTCAGCTGTAAGAGATTAGTCGTATTTTCGTGGGGCCAGGCGACTCCCGCCCCTTGTAATAAGTCAGATTAAATTTTACTGTGCTTCCCTCAAAGCACAGGACCGTTTCTGATGAAGGAAGTTTCTGGTGTTCCTGATGCTGGCAGACCATTTTTTTTTTTTTTTTTTTTGCTTAAATGTCTACAGTTAATTTGGGGGGGAGGGTGAAAACTTACCTTAATAGGCGGTCCTGATATCCTATTGAAGAGTTCCCCTTCTTCAACCTTAATACATGACGGGAAGTTTTGCTTCAAGCAAGAGCATGGTTTTGTTATATGTTTCTTTTTATCTTTGCAGCTTGCTAGGAATGAGAGTAAATAACGTTTATGATGTGGATAACAAGACATATCTTATTCGGCTTCAAAAGTAAGAATATTTTATAGGCTTATTTTTGGTAAATAAATATGACATTCTTGTATTTTCTTAACCTGCATTTTAGGTTTTGTTTTTTTTCAGAGAGTAAGCTTTGGCAAATTCCCTAAAGAAAAATTTGGCTTTCTCTTGAACAGACCCGACTTTAAAGCTACATTGTTACTTGAATCTGGTATAAGAATTCATACAACAGAATTTGAGTGGCCTAAGAACATGATGCCGTCTAGTTTTGCCATGAAGGTAAGTTTTAAGTTTGAAGCTAATTTTTAAAACTACATTTATTTACTTATTTATGTGGGTGTAGGTGGGAACAACAGACAGGCACGAGTTGGGGTTCTCAAGTGAATGTCAGGACAACCTATAGGGAGTCAGTTCTGCTACAAATGCAGTAGGGGGTGAGTCCAGCTCAGATCCTCAGACTCGGTGTATGTGTCTTAACATGCTGGTGGAGGGAGTCTTTCTGTGTCCCATCTGCCGGCTCCCAAATAACCAAACGGAGACTTACTATGAACGCTCAGCTGATAGCCTCAGCTTGTTTGTACCTAGCTCTTATAACTTAAGCTAACCCGCGTTTTTACTAATCTATGTTCTCCACATGGCTTTGTACCTCTATCCCATTTTGTGTGCACCACTTGTTTGGCATCTGTCTGACTTCAGCGTACTCCTTCCCAGCATTTCCTCTGCCCTGAAAGTCTTGCCTAGCTATTGGCCATGTAACTTTTGTTTAAATCAATCACTGTGACATATCTTCACACAGTTTAAAGGAATATTCCACAACATTCTGACCTGGAACTTGCTCTTTGTTGTTGTTTTTGAGACCGGGTTTCTCTTTGTAGCCCTGGATACGTAGGCCAGGCTGGCTTCAAACTCAGATCCACCTGCCTCACTTCCCTTGCGCCCCTCCCCAGTGCTGGAACTAAAGGCTTGTGGCATCATTCCCAGCTTGGAACTTGCTATATAGACCAGACTGGCCTCGAATTTAGAATGATCTTTCTTCCTGTGCTAGGATGACATCATGTGCCACTCAAAACATTCTTGAGCTGGGTTTGGTGGTTCATACCTGTAACCCCAATGTTCAGGGGGCTGAGCAGGATGGTTAGTCTGGGCTACTTTACTGAGTGACATTTTGTCTCAAAAAAGAGAAAACAATAACAAACTCTTGGCACTCTTGAGTTAAATCTATTTGTCTAGTTAAATGATAAGATTTTTTTCTTTGTAATAGAGCAGAAGGGTTTTTTTTTTTTTTTTTTTTTTGGTTTTTCAAGACAGGGTTTCTCTGTGGCTTTGGAGGCTATCCTGGAACTCACTTGGTAGTCCAGGCTGGTCTCGAACTCAAAGAGATCCGCCTGCCTCTGCCTCCCGAGTGCTGGGATTAAAGGCGTGCACCATCAACGCCCGGCGAGCAGAAGGTATTTTATATAAATAAAGACCTACTGGTGTATGATATAAATAAGGTAATGCCCAGTATGTGTAAATCAGTGACTGCCCTGGTTCTCATCATTATTCTAAAAAATAGAATACAAAACAATTGTTTCGGTTACAAGTTATTAGAATAAAGGCTTATGGATTTTTCTACCCTCTGGGGCCTGGCAGGCTAGTTCAATGGACAAAAGCTATAACCCTAATGGCCTGAGTTTGATCTCTGGAGAGTGGAGAGAACCTATCCATGCAAGTCATTTGCTGACCTCCACTGCACACTGTGGCAAGCTTGGTATTACCCCACACATCCCAAATAAATAAATATGTAAAAAAAATTTTCCTCTGATTATCATTTGTAACCTTTTGTTTTATGACCATACTGTTTTATTTAACATTTAAATATTCTCAGTGGCAGAAACATAATTTTCATAAACAAGTACCTAGTGTTTAGGATTTACTTTTATTACATTAATTTTTTTTCTTCTGTTTCTTGCTAGTGTCGAAAACATTTGAAGAGTCGGAGATTAGTCAGTGCAAAACAACTTGGTGTTGATAGAATTGTGGATTTCCAGTTTGGAAGTGATGAAGCTGCTTATCATTTAATCATTGAACTCTATGATAGGGTAAGTTAAATTGTTTTTCACTCCATTCATTGTTATGTTTAAAGTGTTCATCATGGTCAACACTTATGATTTTAATTGAATAATTTTAATTCTACATCTTTGCTAATACTTGTCTTTTTTTTGTTTTTTTCAAGACTGCGTTTCTTTCTTTGTGTTGTTCATCTGTGTTAGAACTAACTCTGTACACCAGATTGGCTTCAAACAACTCAGAGATCCAGCTGTGTGTATGTGTGTGTGTGTATGTGTGTTTTATTTTTGTTTTTGAGATGGTTTCTCTGTATTACAGAACTGGCTGTCCTGGAACTAACTCTCTAGGCCAGGCTGGCTTTGAACACACAGAGATCTGCCTGCCTCTGCCTTCTGAGTGCTGGGATTAAAGGGGTGCACCACCACTGTCCAGTAAATAATTTTTTTTAACATGGAGATAACACCAAGTTCTTGTATATTGTATGCTTACTTAGTTTTTACTAACGTTATATAATATTTGCTAAACAGTGGTACATAATGTTAATTGAATTGTAGGCTATTTTCATTCATGGTTTTTTTGTTCCAGTATTTCCAGTTGATTTTTAGGGAGTTTTGGTTTGAAGGATCTGAGCAAATAGGTATGCATACTGTCTAGGTTCTAGAAATCCAGCTAGTAATGAATTTGGGGTAAATACTAAGAATCTATGTGTTAGAGTGTGCACTTGGGATTTTGTTTGGTCATTGTGGTATCTGTGAGAGGTGGTTGTTGATACTTAAAAAATGTATTAAAGATTGCTTTTTCCTTTGTGAACCAGAATTTGACCTAGCTTTCATATCTGAATTTTGAGAATTGGTGTATCTCGGTTTGATTAGACTGTGTGTAAAGAGGATTGCTACAACTCAAAATCAATTTAAGAATCTGAGAGATAGAAATTTGAAGACAGAGGTTTCTGTTCCTCCTGGTCTTGTAGCCCCTAAATAAACACACCCAGGCTTATATTAATTATAAACTGTTCGGCTGATGACTCAAGCTTCTTACTGGCTAGCTCTCTCTTAATTATTAACCCATAACTATTAATCTGTGTATTTCTTTCCAGAGAATGCCTGGTGTCCTATCTTCCCGTGGCTCTTTTCTGTCTTACTCTTCCAAGAATTCTCCTAGTGTGGTAGCCCTGCCTATATTTCCTGCCTGGCTACTGGCCAATCAGCATTTATTCACCAACCATATATTCACAGCATATAGGACATCCCCCATCACATATTTATAATGAATTTGGACTGGTGAAACGGCTCAGCAGCTAAAAGTGCTTGCCATGAAGCCTGAAGACTTGAGTACATTCCCTGGAACCCATATAAAAGTGGAAGGAGAGAACCAACTCCACAAACCTGTCTCTAACCTTCACACACACACTATGACACATCATAAGCCATCTCTATCACTACACATACAACATATATATGTATGCATTTATGTGTATGCATACACACACAAAAATAATAAAATTTAAATTTTTAAAAAAATTATGACACATTTAGGAGCAACTCTGAGAAAAGTAACGTAAGATCAAAATGTAGCGTAGCAGGGGAGGGGTTATTTAATTAGTGTTTTAGTTTCAAATTTTGTAAAAGACTATTATTAGCAGGGCACTGGTAGCACATGCTTTTAATCCCAGCACTTGGGAGGCAGAGGCAGGCAGATCTCTGTGAGTTTGAGGCCAGCCTGGTCTGCAGAGTGAGTTCCAGGACAGGCAGGGCTACACAGAGAAACCCTGTCTTTTTAAAAACAAACAAACAAACTGCCTGATTGCTGCAGAGTCAAAAGAAGGTGCCAAATTCAATGGAACTGGTGTTACAAATGTTTGTTAGCCATCATGAAAGTACTGGGAATTGAACCCTGATCCTCTGGAAGAGTAACAAGTTCTCTAAACTCTCTCTCTAACCCCCTAATTTTTTAATGAATCTTTTAAAAAGATATATTTTTCATTTTTAATTATGTGTATTTGTGCTCATGCACGAATGTATTTAAATGCAAATGATTACAGAAGCCAAAAAAAAGTCCTCTGATTCCCCTGGGACTAAAGTAAGAGGCAGTGGTGAGTTGCCTGCCATGGGCGCTGGAAACTGAACTCGGGTATTATCTAATAGCGATGTGCATTCTTAACCACTGAGCAATTTCCCCAGCCCGCTTTAATTTTTCCCCACCTTCATAACAGGGCTCCTATGTATCCTAGGCTGGCCTGAAATCTGGAATCTCCCTGCCTCAACCTTCTGGATGTTGAGATTATAGTTGGGCCCCACAACAGTTGGCTACACCACACTGTTGTCCTTTTTCAGACATACTGTGCTATTTCATAATCCCGTGCATTTGCATTTCATGTTCTCTTGACCTGAATTTTTTGAAACTTGGAACTTTTGTTGTTGATTGTGAGACAGACTCATGTACTTAAGTCTGATCTCAAGCTTGCTATGTAGCCAAGAATTACCTTGAACGCCTGAATCTCCTACTATCTTCTGCATGCAGGAATTATAGGCATGTGACATCATGATTGGTTTTGGCATACTTATTAAAGGCACTCAACTGTTAGGTTTTCATAGTGAAATACTGCAAGTAACTTATGCAGGAACCAGACAAAGAACATAAAGTTGCTCTAGGTTAGCTCTAGGTTGCTTCCAAATTGGAGTCCTTAGAATTAATTTCACAGCCTATTGGGTTAATGCAGCGAGCCTACTTAGAAGTGCCTGGTGCCTCTGTTTTGCAGCTTTATTTCTATAGCTATAAGCAGGTCTTCTGAGACAATTTTTTTCAATTTTTAAGATGTTTCAAGACTGATTTGGAAAAACATTAAATTACATTTTACTCTGTTGCAGGGGAACATTGTTCTTACAGATTATGAGTACCTAATTTTAAATATCCTAAGGTTTCGAACTGATGAAGCGGATGATGTTAAGTTTGCTGTTCGTGAACGCTATCCCGTTGATCATGCCAGAGCTGCTGAACCTTTGCTGACTTTAGAAAGGTAGCAGTGTTTATACAATCGTATCATATTGTATTAAAAAGTAAACTAGGTTACATTTCAGAATTAGAAAAAATTCCATTAAAAATGTTTAGTTGTATAACACTGAACTGTATAAATCATTTATATAAATATACATATAAACAATTACATTTTATTTGTGGGCAGATGTCTCCCTCTCTCTCTTTTTAAGGCAAGCTATAAATGGCCTAGAACTCTTTATATAAACTTTGAACTTGCAAAGATCCACCTGCTTTACCTCCAGATGGTTATAATTAAGGTATACACCACCATCCCCCAGCCCTCAAATGTATATTTTTTTTCTTTTTTTTTTTTTGGTTTTTCCAGACAGGGTTTCTCTGTATTATTTTGGAGGCTTACTCTGTAGAACAGGCTGGCCTCAAACTCACAGAGATCCGCCTGCCTCTGCCTCCCAAGTGCTGGGATTAAAGGTGTGTGCCACCAAAGCCCAGCTAAGTGTATATCTTTTTATACTACAGTTTGGGTTACTTAATGCTTGTGTTTTCTTGCCAAAGTGAGGTGCTGACTTCAGAGTTCTGAGAAGACATTAGGGCAGGCCGAGTGCAGTGTGGGTAGCAGTGTGGGGTAGACACTCTGGTTTATGCAGGAAGAAGTGAAAGGGTCAGGTGATGATTAATGACAGCTTCTCAGGCTGTCAGGTCCTGCTACCTAGTAGTCCACTTGGTGGTCTTCAAAG